GAGTCTGGGCCTAGAATCGATCTGAGTGGGTCAGCGTGATTCATGTACTAACCTGTAGGAAAAGTGCTGTACAAATAAAGTTTGATTGATTGCGAGTAAAGATTAAAGTGAGTCTGGAAAACAAAAAAAAAAAAAAACCCAGCTGAATCAAAGCTGTTTTTTCACTTTTTATTTTTTTTGCTTGCAGACAAAAAAAAAAAAAAAAGATATCCATGAAGTCCAGATATAATAAATAAATTAACTACTAAAAAACTGTTGGCTATTAAAGCAATTTAAAGAATGGCAGAAAGGCTTCACTTTGCAAAATTACAGAGCTCGAACAAGGATCCCAAATCATAAAAAAACAAAAAAACAAAGAGCCTCAAAGAGACATTGATTTTACAGTTCACCGCTCTACCTGCTGATTGTTCTGTGACGTTTGCATATCCTAACAGAGTCCTACATGGTTCAGTACACAGGAAGAGAGAGCAGAGAAAAGCAAAATAAAAGCTTATTTCTTCTTTATGAAAAGTTAAAAAGTTCCCGCGAACTGAGCCAAGTGCCTGTGGTTTCTTGTCCCTAAAATATCTGTCTGTAATTCTTGTGGAAAACCTGAAAGATATTGATAACTAGTTCACCCGTATTGGAGCAAATAAATGCACTAATAACTATGTCTCCTTTTTTTTTTTTTCTCTTTAAAGTGATTCACTGACTTTGGCGAGGACAAATAAAGAAACGCCATCTCAAAGACATAATTATTATTGTGTACTTGTATTTTCATGCATACAGTATTGAATTCTCTAGAAAAAGAAAACCTGTCGTAAAGTGTAAGTGTCACAATCTTACCGAGTTTGTAGCTTAACTGACTGAGGTAAAGTTGCCTGTTTCCTGAAGTAGAGCAAACATGCTGTTGATTTTTTTTTTTTTTCTCTTTTGGACGAGGACACAAAAGACTGAACCCACAGAGGAAATGACGCCTGACAACATGTGACCACCCACCATCAAAACTAAAGCGTCCATGCTTGTCTTTTGAAAATCTAAACAGAGCTGGAGGTGAAAGGAAAAATCCACCTTAAAAAAAACATCATTTATTTTCTACTTCAGGATTTGATGAAGGTTTTAGTTCATGATTTGTGTTTTGGTGAATTTTGGTGAACCCTGTCTCTCTATAACTGCCTGTTCTACTTGCACCAGATTTCCTTCGTTTCCCACAATGCCTTTCAACAATCCCCAGATGACCCTTGACCCAGATGTGGCAAGTATGAGGAGAGCTGGACATTGTTGTTTTACATTATAAAAGAAGCGTCTGTTAAACTGTTGACAGGTCATTTTATTACTCTGTGTTTTTGTAACCATGAAGGGTTGTAAAAAAAAAAAATCTAATTCATTCAGTTAATTCACACGTGAACTTTAGCATGAGGTGGCGTCTTTGAGCAGGACAGACTGACTCTGTGATCTCAGGTCGTTTTGTAGTGAGGTGTCAAACCTGCTGCAGTCGACTGAACAGCAAAGAGATTCTACTGTATTCAGTCTGTCCCCACCTGCTGGGTACAGCAGTACGGAATAACTCTACCTAACGTGCAGGAAGGTGCTCTATTCAGTCTGTGGCTGTGTGTGATAACCTGTGTTTTTGTATTAAGATGCATAATGGTGATAGCTTTGGAAAAAAAAAAAAAAAATTATATTGCGATTATTTTGGCAGATACTGCGATAGCAATATGAGTGTGAATGGTAATTTTTACATTTAACTGTCACTGGAAAAAAATAAATAAAAGAAAAACAAGTATTAGAGCTGCACAATTTAAAAAACAATCAACATATGGTCAAGTGCAAAATACAAATTGCAGGAGCGGCAATTTTTTTGATAAAAGGTAAAATGTGTCACTGTGCACTGTTGGCACGACAATGCTACAAGACCCAACAAAAATCACATCATCATCATTTTCAATTTTTTGTTAGTGAAAGTGAAATGAAAAAACAACCATTCCAACTGAAATCGCAATATCTGCCAGATTAATCGCAGTATCGTGCAGCCATATGAAGTATATAAAAATGAGGATGTTATTTTCAACTATGGCTGGAGAATATGATTTGTAGCACCACAGTGCCTCATTTATGGTCTGTTGTGACACATTTTTCCTTGCTCCTGCCATTTGTATATTGCACTTGGCCATATTGTGTCTGTGGGAGTGAAACCCAGCTACAGAAACAGAGCATTTGGGGGCAGGTGATCTTTCAAACACAACCAGCTCTCTTCATACATCATGGTCACATATGTTACCTACAAAGCAAAACATCCTGAGTATATGAGTGGTGTGTACACACGCACACACTGAACTCTCTCTGATTCCACCTGTGACATCTGTTAGTGTCTAAGTGCAAGAAGCTGTGATGAAGGAGACACGACTTTACAGAGTCATTTCACCTGGGCACAAACATTTCTCTAGATTGTGGATATTTCAGACTGTGCTGAGTTAAACTGGTTGTTGTTTATTGTTTACATTTAAACAGTTGTGTTGGACCAAGTCAACACAACGCCATGGTAACAAACATTTGTGATGTAGGACTGTTGAACTGGTGGCTCCACAAAGACTCACTGACCCCTCACTGTTTGATTGTGAAAATCTGACACTACCACCTGCACCGCATCTTCACCAGTTCACTCTACAGCTATCTATATACAGGACTACTCTCAGTGGGCAGTTTATTATGAACGCCTGGCTCAGGCTAATGCAGTTCTCCTTCGTGGAAGTTTTAATGTTCAGTTTTATTTGTTGAAGATTCAGCTGTTTAGAGGATTTAGTTTCTGCTGCTGCTGAACTGAGACAGGTGTTTCTGTTATTTAGCCTATCCTCATTGATATAGGTGGGGTGGACAAAATAATAGAAACACCTGTCGGATTAATTCAAGACGTCTCTAAAACAGTTTCAACACAAATTGAACATTAAACCCTTCATGAAGGAGGATTTACTGTTGGATTAGACTGAGTTAGTGTGAGCTAGTTGTTCATAATAAACTGATCACTGAGTGAATACACTGTGTCAGCTGCTGCCAACATTACAGCCCGATCAACACATAGCTGATCATTATCAGTGTCAGAGTGTATGTTGATCAGTGAGTAACAGAAAATGTCAGTACAGAAGTTCAAAGACCTTTGAGGTGATTTAGAAACAGTTGATCCATCACAGCACTGACAGGTAACATGTTCTGCTCTGCATGTTTTAAATGTTGTTGTTATTGGCCACTTTATCATGATCTGGATTCTCAGGACTCTGATTGGTCATTTTAAACCCACCAATTGTTCAATGATGAGTTTTAAGGTGGATTTCCCCTTTAAGGATTTTCCTGTCACGTGTCTTGTTTCACTTCCATCCTTCAGTGACTTGTGTGTTTGGAGGTAAATTCCAACTGAACTGATGATTTCAATGAAACTGAATGGACCCAAACACCTGCAAACATGGAAATTACCACCACTTGCAAAAGAATAGCATAATAATAGTAGAATGGATTCAGTTTCCATGACGTTAGATGTCGATCAGACTTTAATAAATCACTTGAAAAAAATACAAAAAAGTTAAAACGTTGATGTGGAATTAATTCCAGCACTCATTTCATTTTTTTGATTCAAAACAAAAAGTTATAAACAGAATGGCACTAATTTGTCTATTCACAAAAAAACAATGTGGTTTTAAAAACCTTTTCTTTTAGAAGAGCAACATGTTTTTGTAGTTGGGTTTGGGGAGAGGATGTTCCCTGGAGAAAAAGGTCTGATGGTTCCTCCGTTATTCTGAAAAAAGCTGTTTGAATAACGAGGAAACCACACGAGGTCTCACCTCTTAGAAATGTTTTGGATTTTTTTTCCTTTATACAAAGTTTACCTTAAAATGTAGAATTTTTTTGTAAGAAAAGTGACATTAAAGGCCAAAATAAAAGCCCTGTCATTCTCACCAAAATAAAAGCCTTGTTATTTGTACAAGAGCAGAGCTGGAACTTACTCTGGTGGCGCCGCTGTTTGGTGAGAGGCGTCGTCTTTAACGTTGAGTTGGTCCCCACAGTTCATCAGCCAAAACAAACTAGATCCTGACGCTTTGTCCTTTTCATTCAGCTCCACTGTCTCAGTGCTTCTCAGCTCCATCAGGACCCAAAGTTCATCTCCAAGGCACAAACCCTTCGGTTTAGTATCACATGATCCGTCTGAGCTGTAACTCCGTCAGAGCTTCCTGCGGCCGTCTTTGGGTCCCGACCCGCCAGCTGAGAAACACTGATGTATGTCATCCTCCGTGTCGTCTCCACAGTGGGGGAAGCAACGCTAAGTCTGTGGAATAAAAGAAAAAGCAAAAAAGATAACATCAGCTGAGGACAGAGCAGTTTGTGACGCTGACCACATGTTGTTCATGATGTTCCAGCTGCTGACTGAAAAAATTAATTTTCATTTTAAAGATCATTCCCTTCATACATGGTTGGACAAAAACAAACAAATGGATGTTGTCACCTTAGAGTGGGCAAATGTGATGGAGGTTTTTCACTATTTTCTGATATTTTATAGATGGATCAATTAGGCAAAAAACATTAGATTAAATAAAATCATGAAAATAATGATAAATTTACTTTCAGTTTAAACCAACTAACTTATTCAGGCCATTTGTGAAACTAAAATGTGACACTAGAATATGTTTGAAGCCACATTTCTGGTTCAGACGAGGCTTTGTACATTACAGCACATCCGCTCACCTGTCTGCTCATGTCTGCTCCTCTGCCTGAGGCTGTGATTGGCTGACACCTTCAGCTTCCTCCTGGATCGTCTCGTCATCTTCCACCTCCTCTGCCACCTCCTCCTCCTCCTCCTCCTCCTTCTCCTTCTCCTCCTCCTCCCCCTCCTCCTCCTTCTCCTTCTCCTCCTCCTCTTCCTCCTCCTCCTCATTGCTCTCGTCATCTGAGGCCTCCTCTCCTTGTTCTTTCACCTCCATCTCTCCCTCGCTGTCTCCGTGCTCTGCCGCCGCCGCCGCCGCCACCTCCTCCTCCTCCTCTTCCTCTTCCTCCTCCTCCTCGTCCTCACCCTCCCCCTCTTCTCCCTCGGCCTCCTCGTCGCTGAAGGGCTCTTTGCCCTCCTCCACCCTCCTTGCTGTCTCAGAGAACCAGTCCCTCACCTGCTCGTAGCTCATGCTGGACTTTGTCACCAGGTCATCCAGGTCTTTCTCGCTCAGGGCTCGGTGTTTGAGGTAGTAGTCCTTCAAAAAGGCCTTACCGGACTTCACCTACAGGAGAGAGGAATAAAACAAACGAAATACACTAAAATATAAAGTCACTGATTTGGTTTGTCTGAGGAAAACTTCAGGGCTATTCTGTACACTTGTTATGTGTCTAATTAGGAAGACTGATATTAATTTTAATCTCTGTGCAGAACATATTGTGAGATTTTGGAGATGTTTCTATACCGGGTATGTGTCTATTTAATGTCTCTGGTTGTATCAGTGAGCAGGACTGATTTGATACAGGATTGTATTTACAGGTCTGTGTTAATGTGATAAAGTACCTTGATTTACAGGTATTTCAGTCAGTGTTTGAACTGTACTGTATTGCAATATTGAGATAAAAAAAAAAAAAAAAAAACATACCATGAGTGAAAGCAGAGGGCAATCCACAAGCCTCAACTTAAAATAAAAATGAAATATGCCATCCAAAAGCTCCCCAACAATACATCCAAATAATATATGTAAAAATATTCTGTTTACAACAATATAAAAAGAAATGTTTCTCATTTGAAAAGTTTTACATGTTAAATATAGGATACTAAAATAGAATAAAGTAAATAAATCAGCTTCAGAGATGTTGGATGGTTCTTTGGATGTAACTCAGTAAACGGTTTAAAATGCATCAAGTCTCTGTGAAACACTTAACTACAGCACCTCACACACGAGTTTACTGATTTACTGACTTATGTTGCTTGATTGACTTTAAAGAGGAGGGGCTGTGGGGTGCACGCTCATAAAATAAGCAATAAACAATAAACTATATGGTTTACTTATTGCAACACAAAGAAACTGAGGTAAGGGAGGCATTTCTAACACTTGAAGACACATAAAATGAACACCTGAACTCCATAGAACAGTCTGTGTTTAAATTTTCAAGGACTACTCATTTTTATTTTTTTTTGTTTATTTTTTAAATACAGAGTGGAGACCCCATCTCAGGCTTTTGGAACTGTATATGTTGGTGAACAGTTGGTTGTAACTGTTGTCCTGTCTATGCCCCTGCACTCCGCTTCAAAAGTAAATACATCACATTAAAGTAACTATGCATCTACATGGGACCTCTAATGAGACAAGATCCAACCATCCCCAGCAGGTTCAGGTAAATGTATACACAGACCTTGATGGCGGTGGCGTCCCCCTGTGGGGAACGTTTGCAGGGATACGGCCGACGCGTCCTCCTGGACCAGCCCCGGAAACGCTTCCTGGACTTCTTCTGACTCTTGGCTCCTCCGTTCAGCGCCTCGTCCACCTTATATCCCAAATATTTAGAACATCAAGTCAAATTCTAAAGTCTAAATAACATTACCGTGAATTGCAAGTGTTACTGCTGCAGTGAAACTAGAGAACTGACATCACATGGTGCTTTTCTTTCTTCACAAAAATAAAAAAGTAGTTGACAAACAGAAAATGCCTTATTACTTATCTACTGTGGCTACATCAGTAAGAAACAAAGCCTGTGCACCTTCCCGCTCTGGTAGAGGTAGTACCACTTCAGGTTGCTGTTCTTGCAGGCGTAGCGTGTGTCTCCGAACCAGTTGACGATGTACGTCCTCGGCAGGCCGCTCTCCTCTGCCATCTGGTCGTACTCCTCTGGCGTCGGCCACTGCGTGCGGACGAATGCCTTCTTCAGGATGTGGAGCTGCTCCGGCGTCTTCTTCATCGTCTTCCTGCCAACAGGCGGAGTCGTCTGTCTCTCCTGAGACGAGGATGAAGGCACAGCGGCTGGTTTCACCTTCTCGCCGTCCCCTTCGACGTCTCCCTCTTTTACCTGCCCCGCTGAAGGCATTTTTCGCCTCTCTGTGAACCAAGCGTCCACCTCGCGTCTCGTCAGCTTCGTCTCTGCTCGCAGCCGGCTCAGCTCCTCGTCCGAGGGCGTGTCTGATTTCTGGAAGCTGGCCTCCAGGATGAACAGCTGCTCCGGCGTCTTTTCCTTGAACTTCTGTGGCGTGAAGTCGGGGAAGGCGTGGCGGAATTTGACCCGTGGGTCGCTGGATGTCCCAGACGACCCCGGGGCGTTGGCAGAAGTCGGAGAGGAGTCGCTGGCATCGTCGCTGGAGTCGATGACGATGGTGGTAGTGTTGTCACTGTTGTTGCTGTCATTAAGGCTTCCGCTGCTGTTCCTTCCCACTCTGCCTCCCCCTGGCGCCGCTGCTCTGCTGGACGAGGTTTCGCTCAGCAGGACACCATGATGATCCTTCGAGTTCCTCTGGTTGTAACGTGTGTCGCTGAACCACTTCTTTATTGCTCGTTTGGAGAGTTTGGTGACCTGCATGAGCCGAGATATCTCCGCCTCGGTGGCGAACTGCCTCCTGCTGTAGCTGGCCTTCAGCTCCGCCAGCTGCTCCTTGGACTTCTTCGGTTTCGTCGCCGCTGCGTCCAAACTGAGCGCCGTGCTGGCTGAAGAAGCCGACATCTCAGTCTTTGATTCTGATGTCGACGGTTCGGCAGCTTTGGGCTGGTTGCCAGGGACGCCTGCGACTGTCAGGGTGATGGGTGAGGCGACCGGCACGGTGCTGCCGTTACCGGCCACCTGAGTGAGGACGAGGCCCGGCTGTCCGACGATCTGACACGTCTGGAAGATGGACTGAAGGCCGTTGGTGGCTGCGGCAATGTTGGCGGGGATGACGGTGATGGTCTGAGGGACGGTCTGCACCGTGCCGTTAAACTTCTTCCTCCTCGCCTCCTCCACCTGCAGAGAGGAGCAACAAACCGTTTTAAATTTACTGAGCCATTAAAGTGTCTGGTTTTATCCCAACTGGGAAAAAGGATGAACAAATCAAGAGGTGGCGACAAACTGAGTTGGTCTTTAACTTGACAAGATTCCTCTTGTTACTTATGTTCTAATTAACAGTATAGAATGGGAGCAGGATCAATTGATCTGTAATGAAGTGACTGTACATTTAATTAAGTTGTTTGACACCAACTGATAAATTCCAAGCAGTAACTTATCATACATTGTGTAAATTACACACAATATTTAAAACAAAAACCAAATCCAATGTGCTCTCCGAAAATTTAAAATCAACCAGATACACAACCGCTTCACATTTTACTTGACAACAGTTCATGTCCTCCAAAGTGAACTGAACAAATTCAGCCTGAGGTACAAGATGACAAAGGCTCAGAAACTACAACAAAACACAACCATAACTATTTTAAAAAAAAAAAAAAAAACTTGGCATGTGGCTAAAAAGCAATGAAATAAAGTGATTATGTGAGACTTGAAAAGGTCACATAATAAGAGAAGGGGTCTCTACATTACAGCATGTCTATAAAAATTAATTTTATGAAGTGATTTGATGAACATCTCAGACTCTGCCAACATCAGGCCGCTCGCTCCAGAGAGCTGGAGTCAATAAAACACAGTCGCTGCTGGATGAGACAAAATAAAACCCAGTGACTTCATGATGTGATCTGACACTCGAGGGATTAAAGGAGCTATTTGTAAGTTTTGTTATTGCTACATAGCTAACCTTAGTATTAACAGCTTGCCAGTCTTGCACAGAGCTTCCATAGTTGCGTTTACAATATAAGGTTATAATACGTCCGAGGAGCAGCGCTACTTCTTCAGGGACCACTGGACGCTACAGTGACTCAGTATCGGGAAGTGATGAAACTAACTGGGCCAGGGCTAGCTGGGCTACTGAACTTTAGTAAAAGAAAAGGGTTGCTTCCCACCTCTGGAGACAGCTCTTGGTGAGAAAAGGAACGAAGTTTGATGCTGACCTTGCAACGTTTCTTCTAGACTGGTAAGTCAACAGCTGTTAATGCTAACGTTAGCTGTGTAGCAAAGGCAAAACTTATAAACAGCGTTGTGCCGGTTCACACTTAAAAAGAACTAGTTCAAAGTTCAGTTCATACAGATGAAAATGAACTAGTTCACCTTCATAGTTCATTTTTTTTTTTAAATCTTGAACTAAGTTCACAGTTTCAAAAATGAACTAGTTCACGCGCATTTGTTCCGTTTTTTCCATTTGTTTGATATTCTTTTTCAACCTCCTTCTACCCATCCATCACCAGCCCCAAATCATTGCCACTCCCAAACAAAATGAATTATTCTACACCACTGAAGAATCACAGACATTAGTTACATTTAAAATCTGTATATAAATATAATCCGTCTGAGTCTTCACTTGTTTGTTCATAAAACTGCTTCAAATGCTCAAACAAAGTGGCTTCAGCAGTAGTCGATGTCTGTACCGCGTGTACTGGTAGCACCAGCCAAGCTGGGCCGTGTCTCTGGAGATGTCATGCGGCGTGCCGTAAAACTGTCGCAAAATGTGAGTCACTCTTTTATTGTGATAACAGTTGCCTGAAGGCAGAACTACAGAGCACAACAGAGCTACAGACGTGCAGTAGCTCTGTAGTTCTTTTTTTGCCACAAAGTAGAGAAAACATGATGTGAAACGTGACGCAGCGTTGTGACGTTCACAGTAATTAGAAAAGCATGATGTGAGAGACAAATGTGTGAAATGCAGCCTAAATCAGGGTGCAGATGATGTGGCTGTTGTGTGAAAGCACCCACCTCCTCTGGTGTCCAGCTGACTCCATGTTTGAGCCTCTGAGCAGAAAACCAGACCTTGATCTGTTCCTCGCTGAACTTGGTCTGTGAAGAAAGGCCCATGATCTCTGACACTGAGGGATACGGAAATCTGCAACACAGAGTCGGAGTTTGACTGATAAGATTCCTACAGACTGAGCTGTTCAATAAGGAGAGGGAACAGCAGAGTGATATCATGCGAGTGCAAATACAGAACAACCACACAGGCTGTACAGAAAACACATCCCTGCAGTCTCTGTTTTATTTAGCTCTTTGTTCTGTTTGTCTTTGCAGCTTTGTGCAGATATGATGCGACTGTAAAAAAAAAAAAAAAAGAAAAGATTTTATTTCAAAATGACGCTTTACCCCAAATAACGCACATGACTAAGGTTGAAACTGATGATTGTTTTCATTATTGATTCATCTGCTTTTTATTTTCTTAATCAGCTGACTAATCATTTCAGCTATGAAATGTGGGAATATAGTGTTTCTTGTTTGGATCAAACCGATACACACTGAGTTTACTATCACCCCTGAGTCCTGACAAAGAAAAGCATCAAATCCTCACGTCTTTAAACAAATGAAAACAAAATAGTTCTTAGTCAATTGTTGTTGATCAGCTAATTGATTAATCAACTAATGCTGCAGCTCTACATGTGCTACACTTATGCATTTAAACCAGCCAGTGAAGATACTTTTTCATTGCCTTGTAGCAAAAAAAAAAAGTCTAACTGTTGATTGGGATATTTATCAATATCAGTCTACACCACATATACACACACACACACACACAACCACACACACACCTTACCCTAACTTAAACAAGACCTGATTCTAACCTAAACAAATTGTCCAAATTGTCCTAAGTTATATAACAAACTGGTCCTCACAAAGATAGAAGTACACACAGAGTCACAAACACATCATCTGCTGCTCAGTGAGGCTAGACTTAATGATTACGGTGTTGATCATCAGATTAAGGTGATGTTTAACCTGAGAGAAATTTTAAAGAAGTTCACCTGTGATTCAGTGCTGCACTCCCATAGATTTGGTGCAAGAGGAAGATTAAAATGAGTGTTCAAACTGAAGCAGCAGACGATGGTTCAGGAGATTAGTTATTGTAATTTGGGTTCTTTGGTTTCCTTCTATTCCTACCTTCCTAGTTATGATTTGTTTTGTTTGTTTTGTTGGAGTTAAATCAAGCTCTGCACATCCTTCATCTCAAAGTGTTAGTGACATTTATCAGTCTGTCTCTGTGACCCCGGTGGGTCACCTGGTAGAGTGCGTACCACATGGGTTTAGTCTTAACTGCAGCGGCCATGGGTTGGAGGCCGACCGAAAAAAAAATCTGTGCTTTTATGTCTCAGTTAAACTGTTTTCCAAAGTACAGCATATTACACTGATTTCCTACCAAACAGCCGCTTCATTTCAGGTCCAGTCTTGCAAACTTGCAGAGACATGAAACCTGCTGCCAGTCACTGCTCCATCACGGTGAACATTAAGTCACTGTAACCACTGTGTGCTAATGCAATCGTGAGTGGGGACAACTGTCTCAATCATTCCTGTTGACATGTCAGAGGGTAGTCAGTGACTGGAGAGATGATTCTGGGCTGGAAATTGACACGAAAAAAAACAACAAATCCAGATGATAAACAAGCAGGCATGAGACGTAATGAAAAGAATTATTTAAGGGTGGTGTTTTGCATTTAAAAAAAGGTTGCAAAGGACTTTTGAAAGGCAGCTATGGTTAATGAATGTGTCTTGTGATATTCTATATTTTTCTCCTTGTTAACAAACCTCATGAAGAGACCAAAACCAGCACTGACCGTCTCCCTCTCACAAGCACCATCTGTGTATCAGAGCCTGATGTGTCTGATTCCTCTGAGCTATAGAGCTCCATTGTCCAGAAACTCTTAAAAACACGTCAGTGAGCCACACTGCTGCACTGGGTCATCACCATGAACACACACACTGGAGTGTATTTTGACTTATTCTCTCTCTCGCATGCACGCACACGCACGCACGCACACACACACACACACACACACACACACACACACACACACACACACACACACACACACACACACACACACACACCTGCTTCCCCAAATACTCACTACAGCACCAAAATGTGGATTAGTCCGACGCTCAAAATAGTACCCTAGTTCCTCCTGTTTGTTTAAAAACAAAAGGGAAAAATTAAACTATATTATGTCTGAGGTGTCTTTATAGATTCACGTCTTCAGTAAGAACAAGTGGGCTTGAAGTTGAGAGCCACAGACAGACGAGGGAAGTGAGGAACATGTTGTTGGTTTGGAACTTTTCATGGGATTTGTTGACAAAGAAAAATGTAGATTAAGAAACTAAAACCACCATAGTCGTCTAAAGTTTTGAATAATATGCACTTACCATGAAGGAGGCTACAGAACAACATTCTATGGAAAGACAAAGTAAACTCAAGGTGCAGTTACCTGTTGTAGGCGCTGACCAGCAGGACGTTGTTGTCCATGGCCGTGTTGTAGGTGGGGATGCTGCTGATGGGGATGAGAAGCTGAGTCTGGGTCTGAGCACTGTTCTGCTGGTTCTGCAGGGCTGACAGAACCTGAGCCAGTGTCCCTGGAGGCAGCACGGCGCCGCCGCCGGAGCCGCCTTTAATCTGCAGCACGTTGGGGCTGTTGACCACGATGCTCTGTGGGACGGCCTGGACCTGCACAGGTGTGGAGACGGGGATGAGGCGAGGGGCGACGGCGGCGGGGGTCATCGGGGCAGGAGACAGAGTGGGCGGCTCCTTGTTCTCATCGTCCTCGTCGTCGCTTTCCACTTTGATGATGTCGTCAACGGCCATCTTGTGCGCGGCGGCAAACTTCTTGGGTTCCAGTCTGCTCTTGATCCTCATGATGGGCGTCTTGCTGAGGGCGATGCCCTTGCGGGACGTCTCTTCTACCTCGTCGTCCTCCACTTTGACGAAGCTGCCGTCGAAGGTGAGGTCGTTGACCGTCTGCTGGAAGATGGTCTCGTTGTTTCGCTTCACCATTGTCCGTGTGAAGTTGTCCTCACCCGGGTGGAGGCGAGCATTGTGGGCCAGCAGTGTATCATAACTAGAGGGGGAGAATTGTGGGTTAATACCTCTTTGATCAGACATAACTCAAGAAAAAATAAATGTAAACCTTTCGAGTAATGAGGCAGAAATCATATTCCTGACACTCTTCACCACAGCAGTTCACAGTCAGATGATGGGACCAATAGGTTCGAAGTTCAAAATGAACCTAGTTATGACCTGTAATTCTGTCCTGTATTTAGGTCACGTGAAGACACCTGAGCAAGTTCATCTACTGAACACATCTGTGTTCCTGTGATAAAGGTGAAAGTAAGTGAACCTTTACCACAAACTGCTTCAATAAAGTTTAACTGACTCAATGATTCAATCCTAGCCCGTCATCACTGGCCACTACTAATATATAATGTCTGATACACATCCCAAGACTTGAACTATGTTCTGTGTTCAGTCGCAGTGTGTGAAGGGACAAACAGCCCTGACATCGTACCCATCCTCTTATGAAGCTGATATTTTTCAACTAGAACTAGGAGGTAAAAGAAACTTTGTTCCATCAAAGGTGCAAAGTTGCTAAGAATTCAGTGAGTTTATCACTGAGAGCAACAGTCATTGAATTTATTTAGGGCTGCAACTAACGATTATTTTCATTATTGATTAACTTGGCGATTCTTTTTTTGATATATCGATTACAATGCACCTAAGATGTTAGGGGTATTTTCATTTTGTAATTAAATAATAATTTAATATTGGTTCTGGCAAATTTAGACACGTATGACAGATATGTTTGTCTTATAACTAATAAACATTATTTTGAAGTAATTGTTGCTTCCATTATTGAATCATTGAAAATGATCATAAGTTGCCAGAGACAAAAACTATTTAATTAACAAGGATATGAACCAGCATTAAATACTCTGATGTGAAAAACTGGAAATGGTAAAAGCTTTAAATGCCTGTTTGTGGCTGATACTGTGATGATTTACAGCGACAGGTTTGGTCTAGTCTGTCCTTTACTTTCAAACACACACTGTGTGCACACACAGGTCCTCTACCTCTTTGTGTGGTAGTCACACTCCATGCAGACATAGGAGGTGTTGATGACGACGTCCGGATGCTCCGTGTCCACGTGCATGGTGAACAGGTTGAGCTCTGACGTCTGGAAGCTGCAGTACTTGCACTCGTATCCTCCTTCTGCCATGTTCAAGTCCAGGTAGTGGTCCGACACCTGCCTGACGTCGGCCTCCTCGCCTCGCTCCTCCGACAGACCGCAAACCTCCGAGGAGACGGTCACCACGCCGTTACTGTCCTCCGGTTCTGCCACATCCATGATGTCCTCCATCTCCTGATCCGAGTCGACGGTTTCTCGAGGAGGAACCATGCAGGGGGTGGTGGATTTCCTCCTGCTCGCCATCCTGAGGTTCAGTGAGCGCTGCGTCTAGCTGAGTATTTGAGCTGTCTCAGTTCAAGTCGTCCTGTTGTGGCTCCATAAAGAAAGATATCGTCTGTCGAAATTCTTCCTCTGTTATCCTTAATTCCTGAGGACGACAAAGTATTAACACTTGTGACTGAAACACAACCCACATGCAAAACCTGACATGTAAACTTCTACTTGCTGCCACATTCATATGTGGCATGCGTAGATTCTGCAGATGTTTCTCCTCTGGCTCAATTGGTGTTTCAGGTGAGTGCATGTGTGATCTATATAGAAACTCCTATTTTCATGCTTTTTATTACTCATGTAGATATTATTCATCATTTTTTAAAGTGCTGCAATGATTGGTCGATTAATCAATTGATGTAATATTAATCTAACTATTTTGGTAATCAATAGTCATTTTTTAAGCAATTTTTTTTATATTTTGGGTTTTAGATGGTTGGTTGGACACAAATAAGAAGATGATAAGAAGATTTGAAGATAATCAAGAATAGAAATAATTATTAGGTGCAGGTGCTCCTACTTTTGTGCTGCCTCTTTACTAATGTGACCATGAATGGATTACTGAACGGGCCTGCCAGATGCAGGCCCAAGGGCCTAAGAGGTCAGAGGCTCTGTTTGAAGTGGCTGTCAATATTTCTTGTTTGAAAGTCACAGAGCTCATTTAAATGACACAAAACAACTACAGAGAGACTCAACTACAAAGAGACACAAATTGACCAAAGACAAAACAATTACAAGGACCCAAAACAACGATGTGATCGTCTGGGGATCCTATAAAGCAGGGGTGTGGGGTCTTTTACCTGTCTGTACTCAGGGCACATTTTCTCACAATCTCCAACTAATCATCTATAACGATAGCAATTTAATGCATCCCTTATATTATCTTTCCTCTGGCTACTTATCTTATCTAGCTGGACTTTATCAACCAAACAACAAAAATATCTGTTGCATGCTTTAGAGAAACTGATGTTGAGCCATGTAAATTGCAGAAGAGTGTGGTCAACAGGGCAAATCATGCAAAAAAACAAACAAAAAACAAACAAACAGGGGAATAAGCCTTAAGAAATGAACTGATAAAACACTTTTGCTCCACTTTGGGTAAAAGCCCTGATGCCTGCAGCCCTGTGCTCACCGAACTAACTGATCCACCCTGGTTATTTCAGCTCCTGCGATCAAACTGAGGCTGCAGCAGAACATGCACTTCCTGTCCACACACACACACACACACACGCAAGCACGCACACACACACAGGGGGGGAGAGAGGGAGGGAGGGGGAGAGAGAGAGAGAGAGAGAGAGACAGAGAGACAGAGAGACAGAGAGAGAGAGAGAGGGAGAGGACAGAGATGTTTGCCAATATATTCAAGGCTCCAATCACAGAGAAAGGAAGAGAAAGAGGAACGACAACATCCCAACAGTCGTCCTAGCTAACACTAGCTAGCTGAACATTGTGTTAAACGGGTCAATTCTCCACAAGTGGCAGCGGGTCTGAGGCTGCCACTAACCGTGCACAGACACCACCGACAGTCCCCCGTCGGCCCGCTGTGAGTTTACCTGGCGAATCGGCTCCTGTTTACCAACATCTTGCAACAAACAGTTAGCTGGCTAGCGGCTGTAGCTGTATAGCATCTCTGGTTGGGTCTGTTGATACGCAGTCTTCCGCCTTTTACCCAAATACACCGAGCACCCATCTGCTTCAGCCGCACACAGAGCCGCTCTGACGGCCGGGAAACGATCTGACTACCGCCCGTTAGCTCCGGTTTCAGCTAGCGTCGCCACGACTCGCATTGTTTACTCTGTCGACTTGTTAATAAAAGGGACAGTTTAATAAAAAAGGCACCGATAGTTCAACGAATATGACGATGGCCATTTTTTATACCGCCGTTACAAGCAAGCAACGGCCGTGAAATGGATCCGGTTTGAATATTTCAAAATAAAAGTTTCAACTAAAGCATTCTCCAAATAAGCAGTTAAAAGATGGAAAACTAAACAACAATAACATCAGTCATAATAATAATAATAATAATAATAATAATAATAAAATGCCCCTATAAAATGAAAGGTACATTTCACAAAAAATCCCAAACAAATCCCTTGTTTAACATTAAACCAAACAAAATTAGCTAAACATTAAATTCCTGGGTTTTACATGGCTTGTTCTCACATTAAACCGATCATTGAAGCTTTGGTGACAATACTAACAACTCAAAGACATCTGAAGGGGTCACAAGCCAAAATGTTTGTTCTGGTTTAATCTTTGACACTGCTTTGTATTTAATATGATTATTATATGTGATGTCTTAATCTGAAAAGTGACGAGTAAGTATGTCACATATTTTTCATTGATACATGTAGTGGAGAGAAAAGTACAATATTTCCCTCTGAAGTGAAGTAGATGTATAAAGTAGCATGAAATTGATACTCGTGGTAAGTACCTTAAAATTGTATTTGGGTAAATGTACTTTGTTACTTTAACCAATGGCAGAATCGTATGTTCTACACCGATTGTATCAATGTATTGTGTAAATTGTTATGTACATTACTTGACCACGTACATGCGTACTACATAGATTTTTCATTTTTTTCAACTTCGTCTCCGTATGGCCATTCCCATGCATTTATTTTGAAAGTATCCCTGTAAAGCGGAAACGGTAGTCGCTGTAGTGAGGTGAGTTTGACAGGTTTATTTGTTTTTTTCATATCAGCGTCGGAGCAGAAGGTTCGTGTGCGTCGTTGCGTCATAGACAGACGACGAGAGTATGATTCAGCCGTGTACTACCACGGTAAAGTAGGCCAATACACCGTGTACTGACGTAGTTATGCAAGACGGTACAGTAGCATGCTGTACCCCTCTCATTATTTACTGTGATGGAAGAAGAATTAGATCATTTACTTCATTATAAGTGGCAACACCGCAGAGTGAAAATCCAGTTTTACAAGTAAAAATGCATTAGTACCATCAGCAAATTATACTTAAAGAATCAATAGTTGTAATTAATGAGCAGAAAGCCCATTGCAGAAGGATATTGTTACATTCTGTATATGTAATATTACTGATGCACCAGATCTTTGATGTTGCAGATGGTACAAGTAGAGTCAGGTTGAACTATTTTATATATTGATGGCATGAATGGATTACTGAACTGGGTCCACTGGGCAAAGACCCAAGGTGTCTGAGGGGCCGCTGTGCCAGAACCCTCTGTTTAAAATGACTGTTAACATTTGTTGTTGGAAAGTCCACAGAGAGACAAAGACAACAAAAGAGACACAAAACGACAACAAAGAGGAGCGAAATGACCACAAAACAACTACAGAGACAGAAAACAACCACAATGACCACAAGGAGATGCAAAAGAAATACAAAAAGATGCAAAAGGACTATGAAGGAGAGCAAAACAACCACAAAGAACTCAGACATGCAGAATGGCTCAGCAAAATGACCACAAGAGCATAAAATGACTACAAAGGGAAGCAAAACAACCACAAAGAGTCAAAAACAACCACCAAGAGTAATAGAGATGCAAAATTCATAGAGACACAAAACTACAAAGAGACACAAAATGGCCTCAAATAGAAGCAAGCTGCGTTGTTTATGTCTCTTTCAATCGGGAGCAGATTGTTTCATTATCAATCCATGACTTTTGGGTGATTTAATTTAGAAAAAATCATCATCATATCATCATCATGTTTCTTATGTTCATCATATGTTTTGTATGTAAAATGTTAATGTGCAATTCAAATTGTATGTTTATGAATTAGCATGAAATTGAATCAAAGTACAACTATACTAACTATACATCCTGTAACTACAATATTTTCAAACATAATTTAAACTCAGAGAATTCACCAAACATTGATATTAAACTCAAATATCAGATGAAAAACAGTGACGATGAGAA